CAAGGCCTTGTTCTTGCTTGAGAGGAGGGGCAGTTGGGCTGTGGAATGGTAGAGTTGGTAGAAGCTATACAATCCGTTCACCCAACACTTGGGAAAATTGTTGTTATGTCGTTTTTCAGTTGTGACCCCATTTGGGGTTTTCTTGGCAAAGATATGGGAATGATTTTGCCATTTCCTTCTCCAATTCATTTGACAGATGAGGAACTGAGGCAAACAGGATAAAGTGACTTGCCCAGGGTCTCACAGCTAATAAGTGTCTGAGGCTAGTTTTGAACTCAAGAAGATGACTAAAGATAGATTTGAACTCAGGTCCTCCTGACTCTAGGACTGGCACTCTATCCACTGGGCCATCTAACTAGAATAAATCAGAGGGGCATGGAAGGGAGGAAGAGAGTTTATAGGGATGAAAACATTCTTCCTACAGATATTTTTCATGTTCATTTATATACATTCTTTTTTTTTTTTTAAGGTGGATTCACTGGCGTACTAGTACATTCTCCTTTAAAAAAACTAGCAAAAGGCTGAATGTATAAACCAGGGTTCTGTTTATAGAGCCATCTATTTAGTTTTAGGATCGCTTAAGAATAGGGATCAATATTGGGGTGGGCACCATTAGAGAAAGTGACATTACCTGTAATTGAAGGTCTGTGAAAGCCACCTCGATACGCATCCATCTCCACTCCCATTTCTCTGGTTATTTTTTTGTGCCTTGAATCATTAGCGACGAGTTGAAAAGGCCCAAAGGTTAGAACTTACTGTGTGGCCTATTTATAGACCCAAGGAGATGCTTTACTTTGCTGCATAGCACATTTTCCCTCAAAGTATTGGTTTTTTCTGAATCAACCATATGACTCATGAATATGTATCTGAGGCAAAACCTCTCTGAAGGTATCTGCTAGTATAGGCATCTATTACTTATTGAAAATAATGATAGCCAAAGGAGGATAGCTTAATGGTTTGAGAATTGACCTCTCTGTGTACCTAAATTCCCTGGAAACTCAACATCATATCTTATCATCTGCTCTCAACTTAGCCCTTTTCATAATAGATAAATTGAATAAACACACTGTTTAATTTATGTGTTTGTTTTTGAGTGAGTGTATGAAAACTATTTTATGAGGAAACTCAAATGCACTTCTCTTAAATTCTTTGACCTTAGATAATGGTGAACCTGGACTAACCTTGTAACTTATGTTGTTGAGTTGTTTCGGTCATGTCCGACTCTTGGTGACCCCATTTTGGGGTTTTCTTGGCAACGTTACTGGCGCAGTTTGCCATTTCTTTCTTTGGTGTATTTTACAGATGAGGAAACTGAGGCAAACAGGATTAAGTGACTTGCCCTGGGTCACACAGCTAGTAAGTGTCTGAAGCTAAATTTGAACTCAAGAAGATGACTCTTCCTGCTTCCAAGCCCAGTGGTCTATCCACAATGCCACCTAGATGCCCCGTATATCTATGGGATATGAATTCATTTTTCAAAAGTGCTTCTAATACTTTATCAGCATAGGTATTCTCCCAGTCATGGAGATTGTAGCCTCTCTGCAGGAGAGAATTTCAACACCAGAAAGTCACTATCCTTTATATACTAACAGATGACCAATCCCCAGAAAACAAATATAGACCCAAAAGCATACATGAGATTTTAGCAAATAAACTCTACTACAACTGGGCCATTATCACAGACAAACTGTTGCCCACAACTACCTGGATATAATATTGATCCATAAAAATTTAAGAACAGTTTTCAAAAGATGTGGCCATGTACAATTACTCATAATTTCCAAACTACATGGCAGAAATAGCTTTCAAAATACAGAGATCTAGAAGGAGAAAACAAAACTGTGTGGGAACACAATGAGGATCATGTCATTCCTGTGATCCTGGCTGCTACGAGGGCTGTCCCAAAGGTGCTTTCGGACCTCGCAGTTAATTAACAAAATAGTAGGGGAAGCTAGGTGATGCAGTGGATAGAGCACGGGTCCTGAAGTCAGGAGGACCTGAGTTCAAATCTGGCCTCAGACTAAACACTTTTCACTTACTAGCTGTGTGACCCTGGGTGAGTCACTTAACCCCAATTGCCTTAAAAAAACCCCAAACAAACAAAAAACTATTTGTTTTCTTCAAGCTGTGTAGTGATCCACAGAAAACTGAACATAAACAGGATAGTAACTTGTCCTCTGTTTGTATCTTAACCCCATCAAAAGATGAAAAGAATGATGTAATGATGACAAAACAAAACACATTTACACTATGCCTTGAGATTTATAAATAACCTAATATGGTCTTTGGTTATAATTTCTCCCTGAGCTTGAGCTCAGATTGGGCAGCTGCGTTGCACAGTGGATAGTGTACCAGACCTGGAGTCAGGAAAACCTGAGTTGAAATTGAGCCTTAGACACTTACTAACTAGCTGGGTGACCCTGGGTAAGTCACTTAACTTTGTTTGCTTCTGTTTCCTCATCTGTAAAATGAGCTGGAGAAGGAAATGTCAAACCACTCCAGTATCTTTGCAACAGCAAACATTGAACCCCTTGGGTTAATCTGGTGAAACCCGGGGACCTCTTCTCTGAATCATATTTGTAAATGCATCAAATAAAATGCATAGGATTGCAGAGGAAACCAGTGTTAAAATGTTAAAAAAAAAACCCCAACAAATTCATGGACCCCAAGTTAAGGACTTAGTTAGAGGATGGAACAATGAAAACAGGATTGTTGAAAATACTTCATTTTGTTGCATACTACTTTGGTTTTTGTTTGAGAAGAGAGGTAATCCTCTGTAGTTATAATCATTAAAAAGTCAAATGCTATTTCTTATTGGAATGCCCTCCTTTCTTTTTACCTATTATGTCTCCTATCCATTCTTGAAATCCTCAACTCACTTGTTACCTTTTCCATGATTTCCTGATTTTACAAGAATTTTGGTAACCTTCAAAAACATTTATTACGTAATACCATGTATCGTCATGATCCTTGTTTGTGTTTTAACCCCCTATTAAGGTGTGAGTGCCGTAAGGTCCAGGCTGATGAAAGATCACTGGATTTGTAGGCATGGTTTGAACCCTATCTCTAGTACTTGGGCTGTGATTTTGAAAAAAGTCGCTTCAGCTCTCTAGACTGAATTTTCCTTATCTTGAAAAGGAAGGCCGATCCCTGACTTAACCTTTCAGCTTTAGAGCCTGTGACCTCCTAGCACCATGGCATGCGAGAGCCACTAGACGAATGCTTGTTGAATGAATAGTTGATGGGAAGTACTATTCATTTATCCCTAAGACAAATGAAGCAGGCAGGGCTAACGGCACAAGTTATTTCCTGAATTATTTCATGAATGGTGTGTAAGCTTGCTGTGCATTTGCAAAAATCTGTTTTGTAAACCTTTGTTGTTGATATTGTTGGTATAGTCTCCTGCTGGCAAGGTTAACCCGTAGAATCTTAGGGCTGAAGGAACCCTCAGAGGCCACTTTCTCCAACTGATACCTCAACAACAACAAAGCATTTATAGTGTTTGAGGGTTTACAAAATGCTTAATGTATTATCTCATTTTAAGCTTTACAAAACCCCAGGGAGATAGGTGCTATTCTTACCCCCATTTTACAGATGTGGAAACTTTGGCAGACCATATAGGTGACTAGCCCAGGGTCACCCAGCTAATAGGTCTGTGTGTCTCCCCGACCGACTTCCTGGCTGCCTGTCATACAACCTCTGCTTGAAGAACTCTGGTGAGGGGGGCCCACTACTTCCCAATGGTACCCATTCCCCTAAATTAGCCTCTTTGCAATTTCTACCCACAAATCTTGAATTGGCCTGACAGAACAAGCCTAATCTCCCTTTTATAGCACAGCCCTTCAGATTCTTGAACACAGTGGTCACGTCCTCCCCTGAGACTTCCCTTCTCTAGGCTAAACATCTTGAGTGTCTTCATCCTCCCCTCATGTGACATCGCTATCTTGGCCTCCCTCCTCTGGAACTCTCTGGCCTATTGACGTCCCCTCTAAACAGTGGTGCCCAGAACTGAACCTAGTACTCCAGCCCTGCTCTGACCAGGGCAGAGGACGGTGTGACTGGCACCTCCTTCATCCTAGGCACTATGTTTCTCTCAAAAACTTTTCTCATTGGTCTCTTTTGTTTTTTACATCGCTTTCATTTGCAAATATCTCCTCCTCCCCTCCCCAGAGAGCCATCCATTGTGACAAAGAGGGAAAAAGAAATTGGCAAAAAACAATTAAGCAAAATGAAGGAATAAATTGTCTCAGTCTAACAGTATAGGTGCATTTTATTACCCCCATTTTGCCTGTTGTGGCACTGCCTAAGATCATGTTGGATTTCTTGGCGGCCGTATTATTCTGTTGACTCACATTGTGCTCTCGGGCCACTATGAACCCCAGTTCATTTTCAGATGAACTGCTGTCTAGTCACCCCCTCCCATCTTGTACCTCTAACATTGATTGTTTTGGGCCTAAGTATAAGACTTGACTTTGATTTTTATAACCTTTCTTCTTATTAGATCTGCCCTTGTACTCTAGCCTGTGGAGCTCTTTTATGCCCTGACTCCATTATCTGACGTGTTCGCCATCCCTCCTAGCTTCCTGTCATTTATGTCTTTGTTCAAGCTGCTGATACAGATTTCATAGTGCAGGGCCAAGCACAGATCCCTGAGCCATTCATTCCACTAGATCCTTCCAAGTTATCATTGAGTAAGCGTGTCTAATAATATTTGGGGACTCCGTCTCACATTTTAACTGTAGAAACAAGGCAGTGGGCTAAAGTGATAAGAGCTTTGCATTTGGAAATTGTTTGATCTCTCAGAAATTACTTCTCCTTTAGCCTCAGTTTCCCTCTTTGTAAAATCAAGGGATTGGACTACGTGGCCTCTAAGGTCTCTTCCAGCTGTAAATCTGTGAACCTATTATCCTGTAACTATAGACCAGCGATATTTCCCTAATTTGTGCCTAAGACTGTATCACAGAAATGAATGGTGTTTTTAAAAATTTATTTTGATTTAGGAATTCCAGAGGCGCTGTAATACTCTCATATCATTGATTGAAAAAGAAAACATGGAAATTGAAGAAAAAGAAAGAGCAGAAAAAAAGAAACGTGGAGTAAAAGGGCCAATGGTAAGGTGGTTTATAAAAACTTATTTTAAAACAGTTTAGAGTCAATTTTAGATTCCTGATCTTGGGGAAAAAAGAATTAAGCAAGTTTAAAGTGGTACTTAGAATTATTAGCTTATACATTTTTTGTGAATTGTAAATGTCTTTGTTGACAAGAGTCATGTGCTATAACCACACACTTACTAGTTCTTTTTTTAATAGGACTCCGTGATTTAAAAAGTTTTGCAAAAGATTGCCATATAACTAGAGACAGTCTGGTACAGTGGAAAGAGCAATGGATCTGGAGTCAGAGGCCCTGGGTTCAGATCTCAGCTCTGGCCCTACCAATGAGACCTTAGACCAATGATTTCACTTCTCTAGCCCTCATTTGTAAAAGAAGAGGATTTGGACTTTTAGTATGGGCCTATGCTCCTAGGCAGGGGTGGGGAACCTGCGGCCTCGAAGCCACATATGTCCCTCTAGGTCCTCAAGGCCCTTGTTCTGCACTTGAGGACCTAGAAGGCCACATGTGACCTCAAGGCCGCTGGTTCCTTACCCTTGTAAGGTATGAGCCCTTTGAAAGAGGCTAGAGCTATGTTCATGGAGCCAACTGGATTGAACAGAACCTTGAGTTCCCTCTTAGTTAATTTATGCTGGGCCTTGTCTGCCATCTCAGTGTAAATCAGAACCTCCAACAGTCCACGAACCTTTATTTAGTCATTTAGTTAATTCTTTGTGGAATCAGCTTTCTCTGGGTTATGAATCAAACTCTTGACTTTGTGTAGACAGTCTGAAATATTTTACTAAATTGCATTACCTGAGAGAACTTGGGGTAGATCGGCTGCAAATCTACCCTTGGAATTGTAAAAGCACATTCTTCTAAATTAAATTTTGCTCAAGAAATGTACTTAATGAAAATAAAGTGGTTCTTAAAGATAAAAGTACATTTCCCGTGCCATGTGTAGGTGGATGAAGAGTGACTATTATTTGAAGGTTATTGTATGTTTTTTTTTTCTTGTAAAAAATATTTGGTCAGATCCTTTGCTGTGGTCTGCCTATTTTCTTGGACCACATAGAACATTAACTGTAGGAATTTCTAACCTTCAAATGAATGGCCATGGTTTTAAGAATTTTTTAATAGTCACATCCTAGATTTAACATGATAGGTCCAGGTTTTTCGTGTGTGTATTGGAGCAGAGTATTAAATCTCTTTTCTGTTTTAGACCCAGAAAAGAAAGGCGGAGCCAGCTGCTGAGAGCTCTGGCAAGAAGGATGCCAAGAAGGTGAAATCTTAAAGCTGGGAAATAATGTTAACTGAGGAATGTCCACTCCCAGCCCCCCCAGCCCCATCCTCTTTAGGGTCAAATATTAATTGCTAGTTTCTATTGTATTCCCAATAACTAACAAAAAGTCTCTTGCTAGTTCTAATTTTTTGCATATTTTATATCTTTTAACAAAGCTTTTTACCTGAAATGTGTAGTGTTCTACTTTATGCATTCCAAAAAATTTTGGTGTCTACCTGTAGCTCGTGAATTTCATGCCTTCCTCAAAATCTTCCCAGTCCTTGTTCTTTGGAAGCTTGTGCCGAGGTTTTAGCTTTTCTATGTTTTGTACGCTACCGCTGCTTTGAAAAAGAGCCTGGATTCTATAGTTGTATCATTGTTCTTTCATACTTAAAATTTATATGGCTGTGGAAAAATGGAATTAAAATGATTTGAGGAGAAATAGACTTCTGACTTTTTTGTTGCTTTCTTTTCTATGGAGTATGAGCTGCAGACTGTGATTAGCATAATAATTGTTTCTTTGAGGTCATCTAAATAATTTTTCCCACTGGAATAAAGGGTGAGAAAAGAAAAAAAAAATCACAAAGCTAATATTTGATACCGTGTTTTGCTGTCAGTACACATTATATTTAAATTATTCTCTAAAATATTCAGGTGGGAAAGCATAATAAAGTAGTATCTATGAGAAATTTAATTATTCTTGTTTTTTGGGGGCAGCAGTACAGTGGTAATATTTGCTGAGTTGCATTCTTTGCTACTAACTACTTTATTTGGCAACAAGTTAACTCTTTGGTTGCTGACTTCTGTGTGGTCTGTTATAAGACCTGAACTGAAAAATCTCACTCTCTTCATCAACTGACAAGCATTTATCGGACATCTTCTTTGTGCCAAGTACTGGACTATCAAAATATGACATCAGACATAGCAGCCAGGAAGCCAAGTAGAAATATCCAGTAAGTCAGAGTATGGTTGTTAAGCTAGAGGCGGCTCATAAGGGAGCTCCAAGGCAGGTTGGTAAACTCAGGAACACCAGAGCTCATTTGGGAGGGACAGGGGAAAGACCATGATTTAGGCTCTCCAGATGTAGCTGCCCAGGGCTAGAACCCTGCATGTCAGCAGCAGGGAGCCCAGTGTATGAGCCAAGTGTACCCTCGCTTAACCGCAGGTTGCCTAAGGTGCCACTTCAGGGTTTCCTCACGAGGTTCCTCTCCTGGGAATTGATTTGAGGGGAGTACCATCACTGGAGATGACTGTTGACGTCAAAACCATGGTTCGCAGAATCTCTTCCAGTGGCCCGTAGCCATTTCAGACTCAGGTGCAGGAGATTTCATTGGGTATATTGGGAGCTGAAGATGTTAACGGCTGAAGGTTCAAGGTTCCCTTGTGTCAGGAGTAGCTCTTGGAAACAGAAAGACTTCTGATCTTCAGTTGGACAAGCCAAGATATGGACAGGCATGGTCAACGGTCATGAAGAAATTTTCAGGATTCAAAATGTTGGCATTAGACTGATACATTGCCCAATCCACAAGGGATTATATCAAGTATTCCAAGTGACCACAGAGTGGAAAACTGAGTTTCTCTTGAATCTCATTACCCATAAGGATTTTTTTTTTTGGCTCTCTACCAAGTTTCATGGTTCCTGGGGGGGATTTAAGCATGCTGCTGAACCAGGGTCCTTGAATACCTACTTTTTCTATATTCCTTACTTTTTGAAAAATTTTTGAATCTCCTCATGCCTTGGCAATTTTAAGAGAATTGACAACACCTATGGGTTGGGATCCCTTTTCCCCCTCCCCGCTTCCAGAAGAGAAGCATTTTTTTTTGAGTTTCTAGAAGCACACAGTATATACTTGGTAGTAATTTGTTGTATTGTTCAGAAATTTGGATTTAGATGCTATTTTTTCCCTCGTAAGGCACTTCTTCAAAAAAGAAAATTGAAACTATATGAACAAGGTATATGCCCCAGTTTTCTTTATGAGGAGAAGGTCATCAACAGAGCTAAAGTCAGAGTGGGAGGAGAGGGTGAGATGTTGCAGAGGTCAGCCGAGACGTAACGGGTAACTCTCATCCCCCATGGTGCTGGGGGTTGGGTTGATTATGGAGATGGTGATCTCAGAACCATCATTTGAGAGCTATCCCTTTCAGGCTCTAAAGAAAACAAAAATGTGCTTTGGCAGATGACCAGGATGGAAAAGGGTCAAAAGTCGAGCCTGAGGAAAATGCACATAAGACTTTCCAAGTGTCATCCTAACTGATGAATCTCACAGATTGGCTCATAGGTGTCGTTAGCAGTTTTAACATGTCTGCCAACACATTTATATTGTGTAAACATTTGCAAGCTAATCTCAGGAAGAGAGGGAAGAAATTGTGTGTGCCTGCCTTTTAGTTTTTTTAAAATGTATTTTGAAGTGCAATTTTTCTCCCTTCGAAACAGCATTTCTTTACCAGAACAAGAAATTTCTCCTGTGAATTAATAGCTTATTTGGTTGGGGATTAATGCCACGCAGAAGCAAAAGTGACATAAGGAAAAAATTCAGTTCCTTCTCTTTGAAATGTAGAGCTGACGGCACAGTGGAAACACATTAAAATATAGCTACTGGTCTGAGATAGAAGGAACCGCAAAGTAACCTGAACATTGTGGAATGGTTTTATTCCCAGCACAGCATGGGGGTGTGTGTGTGTGTGTGTGTGTGTGTGTGTGTGTGTGTGTGTGTATATTCTTGCCTTAGGGACATACAAAGGCTTATCCAAACATGATAATAGGATTAACTGAATACTAGGATTAATAAGTGAATGGAGGGGTGCAGAACAAATGGAAAGTGGGAATGCACTAGACTTCACCCACCAATAGTCAATTCATTAAGAGGCAGAGAGCATTCCCAAAATCTTAGGCCAAAATATTATTCCTATACTCTGCAGCAAATTTAAGGTATGCTTGCCCCCAAAAGGACAAGCTTTACATGTAGCCTAGACCTTTGAAAAATATGTACATGGAGCAAAGTGGGCCCCCAAAGGATTCTACATCCATTGGCCAATTTATTCCATGTATATGGTGATTAAAGGTATCACTTTAAAGATTATGAAGGCTCAAGGGGTAACTCTTAAAGGAAGGAGAAAGATATTGTTGTGTATATCTTGGGGAGGCATTCTCATTTTGTGCAGATATGTATTTGGGGGTAGGTCTTCCTGACTCCAAATCCCATCAGACACTTACTAGCTGTGTGGCCCTGATTAAGTCACTTAACCTCTCTGGGCCTCATCTGTAGAATGGGGAGGTTGGACTCAATGGCCCTTATAGTCCTTTCCAGCTCTAAATCTATGTAACTGTGATCCTAAATGTAAATAGTTTTCTTGCTTATTTGTGGAAACCTACATGACTGTAAGAACATCATAATAGGCATTATGATGGGCATCCTAACTTAGCATTTAAACAACACAGGATGCATCTGCAGAATTAATGGGTTCATCAGACTGGAAATGCAATTATTTTTCAAATCAACAATTTTATTTCCCTTTTGAAAGCCTAAAAGTGGTGTTTAGAGGCCTCATAGTATATAATATAGCTAGTTTGCTGCCTTCCCGCACTCTACGATCCCCCGGCTTTGTACTCACTGTTCCTAAGCTTAGCATGCTCTCCCTCCCTCCTCACCTCCACCTCCTGCTTTTGGGCCTTTCTTCAAGGCAACACAAATCCCACCTTCTGCAGGAGGCCTTTTCTTGTCTTCCCCAGCTAGTAGTGCCTTCCCCTCTCAGATTACCTTCCACCTACCTACTCTGAATAGATCTTGTATGTATCTCATTATTTACACAGATTAGAACAGACACTCCTTGAGGACAGGATAGTTTTTGTGTTTTTACTTTTCTTTGTATTCCCATCGTTTAGCACAGTGCCTGGCTCATGGTGGGTACATAAAAAAACCAATTCACTTTTTTTCCCCCAACAGTTAAAGAGTAAGCAAAAATGACTTGGTCATAAGCTTTAGAAGTCACTAGGACTCTTTTTTTTTTTCTTTTGGCTAGGCAGTGGGGTTAAGTGACTTGCCTAGGGTCACACAGCTAGTGAGTGTCAAGTGTCTGAGGCTGGATTTGAACTCAGGTTCTCCTGATTCCAAGGCTGAAGCTGTATACACTGTACCACCTAGCTTCCCCTAGGACTCTTCTTGTCCAAGGGGTCTTAAACTTTTTTTGCGTCCTGGACCCCTTTGGCAGATAATATGGAGAAGCCTAGGGGCCCTTCTCCGACTAATGGTTTTAAATGCATAAAATAAAAGAAGATTACAAAAGACACCAATCATCAACATATTTACCAAAATCCTAAAGAAGTCAAATTTATACATTCCAGGATAAGAACTCCTACTCTTGTCCAATTTCTTCATCTGTAAGATGAGAACACAGACCCAAAGAAGTTCAGTCAGCCAATCAAGCAGTAACTAAGTTCCAGGCATTGTGCTAAGCAGTGGGGATACAAAGAAAGGCAAAAGACAGTCCCTGCCTTCGAGGAGTTTACTTCTAAGGGGGGACCCAACAAGTAAACAAATAGGTAACAACCAAGAGGATAAATAAGAAAGAGGATAGATATAGAGCTTGTAGAGAGGATAAATAAGAAAGAATTAGCAGAGAGAAGGCCCTAGAATTAGAAGGAATTGGGAAAGTGACTCACTTAAGATCATATAGATAGATGGAAGTAGCAGAGCTGGTTCTTGATACTGAGGTCACCTGACTTGTTGGGCAGTTTCCAGTACATTAATTGCTTTTTTTCCTTCTTTTCTCTTTTCCTTCTTTTTTCTTTTTGTGAGGCAACTGGGGTTAAGTGACTTGCCCAGAGTCACACAGCTAGTGAGTGCTGTGTGTCTGAGGCCGGATTTGACTGAGGTCCTCCTGACCCCAAGGCCAGTGCTCTATCCACTGTAGCGCCACCTAGCTGCTCCACATTAATTGCTTCTTGCATTTCATGCAGAAGACTAATTGTCCTAGAAGTCTTTGACTTAAAAGATGCTTGCTTGAATGCAGAGGACCAGAAGACTCTGGGTCTTTACAGGTGAAAGACTCCATATCCTTTCTTTTTTTTTTTTTTGCCTATTGGGGTTAAGTGACTTGCCCAGGGTCACACAGCTAGTAAGTGTCGAGTATTTGGTCTGAAGCTGTATTTGAACTCAGGTCCTCCTGACTCCAGGGCCAGTGCTCTTTCCACTGTGCCACCTAACTGCCCCCATATCCTTTCTTTGAAAAAACTAAATCATGAACTTGTGTATCATTCCTACTTCTGCCTATGCAAGAAAACAAATAAGGTAATAGGTCATATGAAATCAATCTAATTGTCAAAATTGATGGATCTGGAAACCAAGTCCTCATTCTCACTGACTGACCTCCCTGCCCTTGATGACTATCACCGCTAGTTCATCTAAACACAATTTAGAAAAGGTAAGCCAGCTACAGTTAGCTACAA